GATGTGTATAAGAGACAGTATATATATATATATATATTCGACACAAGCCATGACAAAAAATATTTTACCTGAATCGACAAAATATAGTAAAGTAGCAACGGCTGGCACCACCAAAATTGGGAATCTTCTTAATAACGTCACACATTTCATGGTTTTGCAAATGTGAATTCAACTCTTTGACAATACAAATTTATTCCTAAATAGGCCAGCATTATAACGCGGCCTATGCCAAATTGGTAGTCTGTTTCTGCAGCGTTACAGTTACATACAGTCCAGAACTTTAACAGCAATGAAAATTGAAATAGCCATCAACCAGCAATTTCCGTAAAAACACTATGCAGTTCGTATCTTGAATTAATACAAAATACAGTGAAGACAGCAGTAGAAGATTTACAGAGGCTGATAGGGGCTTACCTGCAGTAGCGGGCAAACTGCAACGTAGCCGTGAAAAGTTTCATTGTTAGCATGCACTGTGCATATGCCAGTCCCCCCAAAGTGTTCTAAAGATTTAGATATCTAAACCGCAATGTTTACTCAAAAGATAAGTTACGTGATCCCGGTGTTCAGCGGACTTCATTTACAAACGAATCGAACATCGTACATTCTTAACCTTGACCTTTACGGGCGCCTTATAGAATGTTAAGAGAGATAACGCAGACATTTTCCCTTATTTTATCTTTAATTCCTAACATTTTTTTTATGATATTTTGAAAAGTCAAACGAAAAGTCGCAAATAATGGAGAAATACATAGAAATAAAATATTACACTATTTTACATTCAATTTACATAAATCAATATTTTTAATTTCAATCGAAGTAAGTTAAAATAAAAATATAGGTTAGCAGAATTGCCTTTAATGAGAGGCTAACTTAAAAATACGAAAATGAAAATTTAGTACAACTCTTATTTTATAGAAAAATTAACGATAAGTAATCTACGAATGTGAAAATTCCAGGCAGTCCATTTCGACACCAATTTTGTAAAACTAGTACTTACCGAGCTCGAAAGAAAATCTGTTTTTGTACTGTACTACTATATAATTAGAAGGGAAATTTTTTTCGGCCAATTCACAATTTTTTGCTATGTTAGTGTGTATTATGTAGATTTGCGTGCATGCATGCTACGAAATGATATCCATTGGTTTTGTATTCGCTTAGACTAATTTTAATCAATGATTATCAGCATGGTGGTATAAAAGACTCTCCAGCTCAATTATTGTATTGCTTATCACCGGTTAGTAATGATGTCATCATTTCATTTTTCATTTCATTTCATTTCTTTAGGCACGAGGGCCAAGGATATGCCAATAAGTGAACTTAATCACTGTCCTACGTGGCATATCCATTTAACAACAGGGGGCTTAATGGACCAGTACACCGGGGTAACCCCCTACTCTTCTCTTCTCGTACCGGGTTCTTTAAAGTGCACACGAAATGCGTACACTGGGCCTACGGTTTAAAGTCCTTATCCGAGAAGACTTGTTCCACCACCAGAACCATTGGCGAGTGAGCCGTTCGAACCAACGCCGATATTAGAGTTGAAGATCACGGTGCCCCTGACTTCACCGCTCGGCCAATCAACTCACAGTGCTGAAAGAACACAACTGGGTTCCTGAAATTTCATACTTGGTAAAGGTAATAATTCCACAATGGAAAGATATAATTCACTTGAAAAAATGTAGATAAAAAGCAAATAAAAAAAATAGCCCATACACAATTGTTGCAATAATTCACGAAATGAAAAAAAAAAGCTGAATTGAGGATTTACTTTACAGATAAAATTTATATACAAATACTATTTAAAATTACAAGTCAATACACAACAATATTATTTAAGCAAAAAAAATCAAACTTACATAAAGACAAATTTACTTAAGATAAATTACAAAATAAGGGACACCAAATATTTAAAAAAAAACAATCACATGATTAAAATCATTACAGAGACAAGGCTGACTTCAAATAAACAGAAAAATGCAGCATTTAAAGAATTACAAAGGGAAAAAAAGGCAAATCAGCAAAAGTGAGTTCAATTTAAATTGTTGGAATTGGAGATCCTGGATGTTAAACAAGATTAGCCGCCTTGCTTGAGGGAAAACACAGTGTCAGGTGTTTGACATGGTTGGTGGAGCAAAATCCCATAAATATCCAATCCCTGCCGGACCAGAGCATTCCCAGCACGTACCCCAGGGCCAAAAAAGCTAAAATAGGGAGAGATGGGGAAAACACGACCGATATTAAATTAAAGGTATATTTTTGTTTTAAATTGATGTTTTAATTTAATTTATTATTAATATTGTCTTTGTTATCTTTAAGAATCAAGAAGAGTTGTGGGATATGGCAAAGGACCTTTTTAAATTCTTGGTGTAATGGTCAGTGATTTGTAAAGGAGAAATTTATAACATTGTGATCGGAAGGTTTAGCAGTATAGGAGAAAAATATGCACAGAGTGCTAAATGAAAGAATCATAAAAAAAAGATGTTGATGTTCAATAGTGACGTGCACAGACTACTGACTCAAACGCGCGCATCTTATTACGTTCTCTGTCGTAAAATCGAACTTGCTACTGACTGGTCACTAGTAAGTTGCGCATCGCGTACATTAGAACTTAACACCATCGCAACTAGTTCAATTCTTCAAACAAACCAACTCAAGAAGATTTTTATTTTGCAAATGTTCAGATCGATTCACAATTGCTCTCAATAAAAGCTGAAATAATCATCGTTTTGCGCTTACTGCCTGCCAAAAAAAGTAAGTTAAATTTAACTTTAACCAGTTCTAGTTGCTTCTAGTTATACTGATTGACCATAAATAGCAAGCTAAATGGATTGACGGATACGAATATGAAAAAAAAAAAACAACAATCATCAACAAGTAAAGGCCAGCCGACAGAAACCTCAGTTGCGTATCTGTGTGCCACCAGCAAGAGAAGGCCTAAGAAGAAACTTCATTTTGCTACAAAAACAACCGGACCAAGACCATTATAACAAATCAATATGATAATGAGCTTGTACGACACATAAACCTAGCAGTGGTGGGACAGCATTCCTCCACAGCAAACAACAATTCTATCCCTGAACCTATACCAGACAAAAACGAGGAATATGCATTACTAGTGAGGCACGAACAACCCTCCTACACATCAAACAATATCAATCCTATCCCCAAACCTATTCCAAACGAAAGCGAAGAATATGAATTACTGGATTAATAAAACACATTAACAGAACGAGAAAGCATAGGCCTAGACCATTTGCAGAACCCACAAAAGAATATTTTAAAGATCACATTTCAACTTTATTTCAGATCCTCATCGACCTACAACGTTATGGTTATGTTACTGATGATAATGGTATTCTACCATTACGTTACAATTCTAGAAAATAACATTCATAATAATGCTTCTTTTAGTTTGATAAAACTTGAAGAAATGGCAATTGCTTGCAAGTGCCTTGCCCTCAAGTCTTTCGACAGATATCAAGCACGTCACATCATATAATTTATGCTTGTGAATAACTTCAGGGTGGATACTTTGAACAAAAAGCAATTGCCCAAACTGAGGCTAAAATAATAAAGATTCTAAACTTTAAGCTTAATACGGTAACTTGCGCAGATTTCATACATGTACAATGTGACATAGCAATCTGTAAGACTTACAGTATAGGGGATAATAAGTTAATAGTTTATGAGAAACGAGCTATGAGAAACTTTGTCAACAACAACCAGCCGTTTAGTTATGCCCTTAACGATAGCATTTTAGATGTTGCATACCACTTGTGAGCAAAATGGAGTTCAACTTTGACTCCGCCTTTCCGGATGCTTGTGAAATTTAAGACAAAGGCCTAATATGTTGGTAATTAAAGAACCTTTGTTTCAATAGTAATATTAAATACACACCATTAATTAGAATCGAAAGAGTTTAAGGACGGTGGGTAGGCTTTCAGATCGAATGTTATTCGTAATTTGTATTGATGGTAAGACAAAATTTCTACAAAATAATTAGATTAGGCCTATTTAAAATAAATAAATAACAATAACAATAATAATAATAATAATAATAATAATAATAATAATAATAATAATAATAATAATAAGCAGCTCCATGGGTGAGTTTTTGTTTTTTGTTTTTTGTTTTTTTTTTTAATAGGCCTAATGCTGTATATTATAGTGTACAATCAGTGCATTGACATTAGGACTGTTGTATACCGTTGTGTATAGAAACGGCAATCAGTGGCCAGAGACAAACAACTCACCAGATAATTGAATCTATCTTTTTTATATTGAATGTGGCGTCATCGTTAGATTCCAGACATGGATAAAAATAAGACTTGATAAAATAATAATTCGATGTTCTCAAAATTGTACATTGGTTAAACTGAATATGGATGATTAGGAATACGTTACTAAAATAGTATTCCTATTAGAAACAAACAAATATTTTGCTTTATTTTTCTCATGAAGACAGATTACATGTGCCTAATAGGCCTATGTTTATTCTATGTAACTCCCGGTAACAATAAATTATTAAAATTTCAAAAGAGGTTAATAGGTCTAAAATTAATGTTATTATTATATTATTCATTATCGATTTAATAATCTTTATGACGGTGAAACATCAATTACACTTTTTAACATTTTTATTTTTAACATTTCAGCATCATTTATTTCTTTCATCTTTTCTTTGACATATATATATATATATATATATATATATATAGAGACAGTATATATATACAGTAGAAAATAAGTAAATAGAATAATAATATTACAACACACGAACGTCGGGAAAGTTGAAAAAAAATGACACACCACACGGAAGCACAGGTTAATACATAGCTGGACAAATTGTTGAGGAAAATTAATCATAAAAGGAGAAGAAATAAGTTTTTAATTTACTAAGAAATATAATCATTGAAGGGGCAGATGTTAAATAATTTCGATCCACTATACCGGATGTTATGTTGTAGGAGTGTTAGTTTGGACTGGGGAAGATGGATTTCATTGGAGGTCCTGGTATAATAAGAATGATTGAAGAATTATAAATAAAATTGCACAAGTTTGATGGAAGAAGAGAATGGATATTTTTATAAACAAAAAGGCATTGCTGAAGTTTATTAATGTCACGAACGGTTAACAAATGAAGATTAGAAAATAATTTGTTAGAATGAGCAAGATAATGTGTTCCGGAGATAAGATCTTTCGAGATCTACAGGATCGGCCAGATTCGCAAATACTTGTATTTATTCGCAAATAAATTCAACAGAATGTCTCGTCCATGCACTTGTCCCATCACGTCTTGACTGTAAAAACTCGCTTTTATACGGCCTACAAAATAACCTTCTGTTCTCTTTTCAAGGTGTCCAAAACTTAGCTGTAAGACATGCACCAAACGCTGTGGCCACATTTCTCCAGTTTTGCGCGATTTGCACTGGTTGCCCTTCAAACAACGTATTGTTTTTACAGTTTACTTTTGACATCCAAAGCCATAAAGCGATTGAGCTCCGGCATAATTCGTGACCTCATCCTACACTCCACCATCTCAACTCTCCGTTTAGCTAGCCACCTCTTACAGAAACCTGGACCACGCATTAAAACATCCTCAAATGAGGACAGAGATTTTTCTATTGTGCAGCTCCAAAACTCGGGAACAATTCGAAATCCGTGCAGCAACATCTGTCAACATTTTCAAAACAAAGCTCAAAACGCATCTTTTCTTTTGATTTGTTTACAGAACTGAGAATTCTAAGCGCATTGAAACTTGCCGTCGTTTACGATGTATTTTATTATTATAATTACAATAATATTACTATTATCACTAAGGCTAGGTTGTCTGTGATAGGCTATGAACGGTGCATCCAGTTAGAGACACGAGACGTTCAGTTGTCTGTAGAATATATGCAAGTTTGTGAATTACTTGTACTGTAATTCACAAACTTGAACTGTGAAACAATTAATGAAGGTAACCCATGGTAGATAGGTAGTGACCAGTAAATCGATTCTACGTCAGTTAGTACAGTAT